CCACTCCGCTGGCCAGCGTTCACAGCCAGCTCTGTCCCTCCCCACCCCAAGCTAAACTCCCATCAGAAGCTTGGGGAGAGATGAAGCTGTGAGGGTTGAGGGCCTGGATGGATCTCCTCCCAGCAAACCTGCCATGGTCCCCTCAGGCTGGCATCTGTCTGCAGACAGCGAGCCTCCCCACAGGGAGTTGGCGGTTATTGTCCTGTGCCCTCTGTATGAACTGCAGAATCTAGGAGAGAGAGGACTGGGTCACCGGTGCTGCCGGGAGCATGACCCCCGCTGCCTGGGCACCGAACTGTATGCATGTCCTGTGAGGGGCTGGGGTGGAAAGGCGAGAAGGAGACAGCCCCTGACCCCTGGAGGTGGCCTGGGAGTGAGGCGTTGAAACAATGGAGGAACAGGGTGTGATCGAATTCACGGGAATGAATGCCCCCTACGACCAACTGGCCAATCAGGGAACCTTTGAGGAGGAAGCCACTCTGGAGAGAGGCCTTGGGCAGGATGGAGGTCGGGCAGAGGCTGCAAGTGCCCACAGCACCAGATCTGCCTCAGACAGTGACGTGGGGCCGCCCCTAGCAGGCTCGCTGCTGAGCCAGGAGGATTTGGTGTCCATGCCATCTCAGGAAGGAAGTCAACACAACCCCACTGCACTGCAAATGTCAAACCAACCACGGACGGAAAATTAGCAACTCCGAATGTCAGGGAGGGAGTTTGCTGTGGCTGAGCTGCTCTCCAGCTCCTGGCCAGGGGCTGCAGGAGGCCGCGGCTGCAGTGCGGCCACCACCAGGCACACACCGGCCACCAGACTCTGAAGCCAACACAGATGAGGGATTCAGCTGTGGGACTCTGGTCTCTGGTGGGAGGGCCACGGGGGGACAGCCCCACCCAGGTACGTCTGTGCCAGGAGTAGAGTGCTGAGAGAGCCTCCCTCCAAGACCAGGGCTGCAGATGACAAGATCAGAGTCTGCCGTGTCCAGGCCCAGAGATAAAATTTAACAGGCACAAAGCGATATCTGATCCAGGGTTCCCAAGCCGAAACCTGAATTCACTGTCCTGGGCTGAGATCGGGTCACGAGAAAAAGACTGAAGGTATTAGTGGACCACAAGCCACCCAGTACACAATTTGACTGTATTACAAGAGATCTCCTGTTTAGAATGTGGGAGGGGATAGGGCCATTGGCTTCTGCCAGGTGAGTGCCCTGAGGTCCTGGGCCCAGTCGTGGGTTTTACTCTGAGAAGAGTCTGGGTGACTAGGCTGCCAAATGCAACCATGGTGGGTGTGACGCAGACCGTCTGAGGCTGGTGGACATCTGAGGGAGGGGTGACAGCCTGAAGCCAGGACAGCGAAGAGCTGCCCTCATAACCCCCTAGCTCATTGTCCCCTCAGCCCCCAAGTCCGGCAGGAGTCATTCACCTCTGCCACCAGGAACTGGTTTGGCCTTTGGGGTACGGCAGCCCATCAAATGACCCATCAAATGAGTGACCTCCCAGGACTGCTCTGAGCAATCAGCTTCCTTGGAGGGCTGGCCCAGTGCAAACGTCCCCCTGGGCTGATTGCGAGGTGACTAGCTGGCCCTGCCCTCAGCAGAGATGGACACCCCAACAGGCAGTCATCAGGATGGCCTGACCTGGCCTGACCCCCAGCGCAGCCCCCTCTCTGGGCACCCACCGCACCTCTGCAGCCTTCTCTGTGCTGTGTGCTCTGCAAGGTTTCCTAGCTGCTGTCCAGGGTCCTGACACCCGTGTGCACCTTTCTCCATGCCACCCCATGACCATCACAAACCTACTTAGTGAATGAACGAACGAACGAATGAATGAATGATTATGTGAATGAATGAAGTGTGGCCACTTGTAGAGAAACCTTCCAGCCTGTCATAGAAATTGGGGCCGGGCCAATTCTGAGAACATCCCCTCACAGTCTTGGGCCACCAGGACCCCGGGGGCTGCAGGCCTGAGAGTCCCTTGGGGCTGTGTGAGCAGCCAGGCCCAGGTCGCTGAGTGAAGGCGAAAGAATCTAAGGCAGAAGAAGGTGACTGTGCCTGGCCTGGCTGTGAGCTGGGCACAAGTCGCGTCCACGGCGGCCCACCTCTGGGTGAACGCTGCCACCTAGTGGCACCTGCACACAGTGGCTCTGGGGCCCAGAAGGGAGAGAAGGGGTGTCCATTCCATCCTGCAGGGCCCTGGCACACGTGGGGGTCGTCAGCATCCCCCTTCCCAGCAGCTGATCCTGCACACGTCTGTTCCCACCGTTTCCTGTCACTGAACTGACCACAGCCCCTCTGATGCCCCCCCCAGGCCACTGCACACACCCCTGTCTCCTGCACCCCATTCACCTTGGGCACATAGAGGCACCTGGGTGACAGCAAGCAGGACAGTACATCTGTGGGGGCACCTGCACTTGTGTGGGGACCTTGCTGAGGTCACCACGGAGCAGAGCATGTATTTAGGATATCAGCTCCCCAGACAGCTTGTCCGGGGCTGGAAGAGGGTCAGGATGTCAGGGTGGGGGAGGGGCCAGCAGCCAGAGCGCTGAGCAGCCACTGGTGGGCAGGCCACTGGTGGGCAACAGACCCCCCATCCATGCCCCTCAGCCAGCACCACTGGGAGGCAGGGCTCTTCCCCAGGGGTCTGCAGTGGCCCCTCACCTGAGCCCAGAGCCACTGTACCCTGGTCCCCCTGCTCCACCCACAGCCCAGAACACCAGCCTGGAAGCCACCTGTTCGCCCGCCAGGCGGCCACCTCTGACCCAACCATCTGCAGCCTTGCCCATCTCCACAGCGGTGCCAGATCAGGTGCCGGCACTGGACAAGGTACCTCATGGGACCAAGGTGACAGCTCAGGAGTGAGGGGGGATACACAGACGGTCCCAGAAACCAGGGTAGCGTGTTGGGGGGCACCGGAGGGCAACTTGGTTGGGGCCTAGCTCCACCGTGTGACCTGGCCACATCCCCAGGCAGGTGTGGAGCCACATCCTGTCCCTCCATTTGCCTCTGGCCAGGGGCGTCCCCAGTTCTCTGTGCCTTGGTTTCCTCTCTTGGGGTGATGTGTGCAGAGCAGGGAGCGGGGTGCATGCCTGAGCATGTACGTGGCCGCGTGGGCCACACACAGAAGGCAGGGAAAGGTCTGAGCATGTTGGGGAGTAGTGGGGACCACAGGGCCACACAGAACCTAAAATGACTGTCCTTCCCTGCGCTGCTCTGCTCATTCTGCCATCAGCTGGCAACCAGGGTCCAACCCAGGGCTTGTGAGCCCTGCTGGGAACAGGACTGGGACCGGGCTGGGTCCCCTGGGGAACTTTTCCCTGCTTTCTTGGCGTGGAACTCCTGGTTTAGCTGGGCACGTGGCACCTAGTACAAAGGCTCCGATTCCCAGTCTCACCCACAGACTGTGACTGGGTTCTGTGGACATAAGCAGAAGCCGTGTGTGTGTGTGTGTGTGTGTGTGTGTGTGTGTGTGTGTGTCAGGTGCCCTTCCCCACTCTCCCTTCTGCTAGCTGGAATGCAGATGCAATGGCTAGACTCCAGCGGCCACATTGGCCCATGTGGTAACCCTGCGGAGGAAGCCATGTAGAGCCGAGCAATGCACAGGAGGGTCCTGGGTTCCTGGCACCACAGGGCCACCTGCCACACTAGTCTACACAGCCTCCCTCTGGACAAACAGGAGAGACAAACATGAGTCTATTCTGTTGAATCCACAGTACATTAGGGTTTCTCTGTTAATCACACCCTAATCCTAGATGACAGTTCCTAGAGAAACAGAGAAACTGCTTGGAGCAAAAAAATAAGGCAAATAGTTCAAAGAATGCTGGGGCGAAGCAGATAATGATATTCTTCTCCCCTGGCCGTGAGGAGGGAGCACAGAGTTAGTTTGGGGTCCTACCTCAGCCTCCTGCATACAGCATGAAGGAGCTGCGAGAACCTCCTCGAGTGCACTGGGGTCCGGGTTGCACCAGCCTCCCAAACTGCACAGAAATCGGGGCAGAGTAAACTGCCAGCTCCGGGTGTCTGAGGGCCATGCCGGCCCTGGTGGCCCGCAGAGCTCACAGCACAGGTTCCTGATTTCCTGGGATGGCTCTGCAGCCCTCAGTCCTTGGCTCTAGTGGGGATGGGCAGGGGACACAGCAGGACCCTGGTTAATGCTGTGCGTGGACTGAGGTGAGCTCAGCAGCCAAGCCCAGTCTGCAGGCAGGAGGCAGCAGCACCTGGAGCAGGGCCTAGTTCTCCCCAAAACGCAAAGGCACCCCAGCCCAGAAATCTCTGGGAGGCTTGTAACACAAAGGTCTCTGGTTGGTGGCCTGGGCTTGCCAAGCCCTCCTCAACCCCCAGGACGTCTGTGAAGGGGCTGGGCGCCAGTCAGGACCGTCATCGCCTCTCAGGCTGCTGAGCCTTGCTGAGTTGCTGTCCTAGGTTATGGCCCCCAGGGAGTCCAGGGAGGGTCTGGTGGGGAGGGACAGTCCAGAGGGACAGTCTGGAGGGCAGGAACGACATAGCCACTGCAGCTCAAACCCACACAGCTGGGCCCTCACTGGGGTCCCTCCCAGCAAGAGGAGGCAGGAGGAGTGGCGGGGCAGGTGCCAAGGACAGCAGGAGGCGGCTCCGAGGACACTAGTGTGGCTGTGTGGCTGCCTCCTCCAAATGCCAGCGGCCCCCTGTGCACAGCGCCCACGCCCAAGAGCCGGGCTGGCATTTCCTGGAGAGCCCAGCTGCTCCTGTCCCAGGACCCCAGCTGCTCCTGACAGTGGAGAGGACCACAGGCAGGAAGCCTGGTGTGGGTGAGCACGAATTTCTACTGTTCTGAGCCACCGGTTCGTGGTCCTCTGTTATGGCAGTGACAGGACACCGAGTGAGCCCGCGCCTTGACCCTGGAGAGCGAGCTCCCCCTCCCCCCACCATGGGAGCACAGTGACCTCTTGGTGGAGGCTGTTGCTGTCCCTGCCACCACGAGCCTATGCCACAGGCCAGCAGCCCAGAGAGCGTGCAAGAGAAAGAGGTGACACGCTGTCCAGGTTGAATCACTGCATTTTACTAAGTGCGCCGGGCACCCGAACTCGTCCCCGTGGCAGTAGAACTCTCCAGAACTTTCCATGTGCGTCCCTGCCACCAGATGCCACACCTGAGGTCCCCGGGGAACCCGTGCTGGGCCCGTTGTCATGGCACAAGCATCAACCTGACAGTGAGCTGAGTGAGTCAACATGTCGCTGGTCTGTAGAAAACTAGATTCATTCCTGGGCATCTGTCCTTAGAAAGCGACAGTGTGCAGCGGTGACACGGTCACGGAGAGAAGGCCTGCTTGCTATGGTACAGGGCACACCGTGCTCCAGTGTGCGGCACACACAAGGCATTATGAAATATTCTTTGGAGCGTGAACGAAAGTGCAAAGACAGCCAACGGCACACACGGATGGAGAGTTGCAGCCACCTTCCGGCCGGTGGCAACAAACCGTCTGACGGCACAGGGTGGGGACGCGAGCGGGTCTCAGGCGGACGTGGCAGGTGCGAAGACGGCATGAGGCCCGCCGCCCACTCAGCCTTCTGTGGCGCTGCTCCTGCGGGCCGTGGATGGACGAGGTGGCGGGGTCTGGTGTCGGTGCCTGGCGGTCACCCAGGGGGTATGGGGTGACCTCAGTGAATTCCTGTCAACATGCATTAAGGCAACTTTATGAAACACGGTCAGAGCTGGATGTGGGGCACATGGCAACATATGCATCCCTGCCTGGAAGTCCCAGGACTGAGGGCCTCCCCCGGGAGGGTCCCCTCCTGTCCGGGCACCTGATCTGCCTGTCCTAATGTCCTCCATCAGCCAGGGGCACCCACACAAATGCCCAAGACAAAGACCACCCAACTCCTCCCCAATGCCACAAATGACCTTATACGGTTGTAAAGCGGACTCTCACCTCCCCAGAAGCCTCTCTCACTCTCTACCCTGTTTCCATCATCACCTCCTCCTGGGGTCTGCTGTCAGTCCCACCCCTCACAAGACGGCAGACTCCAGAGACCGGGCCCCCAAGTCCTGCCTGCTCCAGAGGCTGCAGTCCTGGCCGGGGCAGCCAGCTCCCCCAGGTCCCTTGGAGAGGTGTGGACCCCCGATCCCATCACACCACCTCCTTCAGGAAGCCCTCCTCAGCTGTCTCCACTTAGTGCTTGGCGGGAACCCAAGTGAAGCCTACCCCTGGGGACAGGGACGCAGGAGGAAAGCCAGCCTGGGACAGCTTAGGTCAGGGAAGGGAGTGTCTGATTCTGGGCCTGTGTGCACTGGCGGTGCCGAGGGCATGGCGCCCCCGGCGGCTCAGAGCTCAGCCACCCCACAGGGGCGCAAGGCGTCTCCAAGCCCTCCACGGCGGGTCCTCACTGTCAAACCGTCCCTCTTCACACCACGTTCGTTTCAAGGGCTTGCGACGCCGGGGGACGTGGAAACTGCTCTTTTGTTTGCTCCTGCAGCCTGAGACCCAGGGGCAGGTGGCTGTGCCCACCAATCTGTACATTATTTACAATTTGGGGTGACTATGAGATAGATACAAATGCCAGCATTTCTACAAAGGCCTCCCAGCTCCCACCACCCCTCTGGGCTTCTGGAAGCGCCTAGAAATGTCTCAGAGCCAGGTTCTGTCTGCAAGCAGTGGAGGTGGGGGCATCCGATGCACGGGCGTCCCCAGAGCGCGGACGGGCCCCCTTCCTGTCCTGTATTAACATGTCAAATCCACGACCACAGGGTGGGGATGGCGGGCTCCAGCCTAGTGAGGGAGACGGGAGGTTAAAATAACACAGAAAACGCATGAGGCTGCCTGGCTGCCGACTGCTCTGGGCTCAGACGCGTGGTGATTAGGGGCAGGTCTAGGTTCTTCCTATCCTGGACATCTGGCCCCTACGAAGTAGCCCTCTCAGCATGGGGTCCCGGAGCCTGGGGCGGCTTTCAAGCCCCCAAAGTTGGGCAATGTTGCTGAGAGGACAGCTGTGGCTTCCCATAGGGAGGGGTTGTGGCTGGGGGGCGGGGGGAGGCAGGCTCAGGAGGGAGCCCTCTGCTCCCTGGCTCGGGTCCCTCCGTTTTCCAGGCGGCCCACTTTGAGGTTGTGGCTCATGGTTTTACGTGGACAGAAGAGGGTGCTGCCAGAGCACACCAACGGCGACGCGGCAGCACCCCACCTGGCAGTGACAAAGCTGAGCCCCAGGCCAGGGGGACACAGGGAGCCGGCCAGCACCCCAGCATCACATCTGGACACCCCTGCAGACGCCGGGACCTCCCTGGCCCAGCCCAAGCTGTTTCTGGGCATCAGCCACCCAGGTGCTCTCGACGGCTGCCCGGCCAGCTGCCGGGGGGAGCACACGGGACCCGGGAGCCTAGGACGGCCGGAGCCCCAGGCTTCAAGGTCCCAGGACCGGCTGTGGCTCCTGAAGTCCTTAGTTCCTAGTGACTTAAAGCAGGAAGAGCAGAGTGAGGGGTCAAACACAGGGCCGCCTAGGTCAGAAACATGGTGTGTGTGCGTGCGTGTGCGTGCTCGCACAGACTGTGAGCATGTGTGTGGTATGTGTCCTCTGGGCATGCACATCCCCTGTGTGTGTGTGTGTGTGTGTGTGTGTGAGCACGCGGGTATGTGTGGGCATGGGGTGTGTGCTCCAGCTGACACACACGCTTGTCTCGGGAATGTTGGCCCTCAGCCACACTCGTGTCACACACACACACTGAGACAGTGCACAAGCTTCCTGAGGGACACCCAGCCTGTGTCCTGTCACACGTCCCTGAAGGCGGGGCGGGCAGTGGACGAGCACTTTGGGGACAATCGCTGCTCAGGTCTGGGTCTGGGGGCCCCAGAGAAGGAGCCTCTTCCCACCGTCCCCCCCAAACCATCCCCCACACAGCTGTGGTCTCCTCTCCCCAAGGGGCAGAGATGTCCTTCAGGAGACTTCACGCCCTCCGTGCTGAGTGGGGCACCTCGACTATCCCCAATTCCTCCTGTCACCACCTCAGAAACACCTGCGTCTGGCTGAGCTGCTCTGGGGGCAGGAGCACGTCCAAGTCCAGCTCCCCCCTGCCGCCAGAGGCACACAGCACAGGGAGCAGGTGGAACAGAAGGCAAACCTCTCTTGGGGGAAAGGGCCCCCCTCCCAGCACAAGATCCCACAGGGGACACGGTTCCTGTTGCTGGCAATGGGTGTGGGGGCAGCCCGGGGGCTGGTGTCGGGTGTGGGTGCACAGGTGCTCTGCCTGTCGGGGGCCTGCGGCTGGAGTCCCTCCCACGAGGGGACACAGAAGGAGGTGCAGACCCCAGCCCCGACCCCACCCAAAGGGCGGCAGCGGGCAGGGTGGCCACTGCCTGGGTCACTTCACACCAGCCACCCCAAGTGCCAGAGCTGTCTACACTGTAAGAGGCTTTTCAAATCACTGCAGAGGTGGCTTAGCTGGGCCCAGGCCTGGCGCACACGGGGTCCCTGCCTCAGAGAGTGCCAGGTGCCCAGGCTTGCCGCTCCGTTAGCTCAAAGGCCAGGCTCCCCACACTGCCTGCCGAGGGCCCACCCCTGCGTTTGGGCTCCCGGTCAAAGCTGCTGCCCCTGGGGCCCAGGTGCCAATGACAGGAAGGTGGGGTTCTCCGCTCCCCGGGGACCAGGGTAGGGATGGGTGTCTCTGACTCACAAGACACCAAGAGACCACAGCTAAGGGACTAGTCAGTGGAGGAGAGCAGGTGGGAGACGGTCAGCTCCCTTGGGGACAGGACCTCCTACAGGACAAAGCTGCCTTTGTCTCTGGGTGGGGAGGGGGCTCTCATGATGCTTGGGGGTGTTGAAGGCTTTTCCCAGTTGTTATGCATCACCCAGGCCTGGGTTCTGTACGGGCACCAGTGGGGGACAGGTGAAAGGTGGGGTCGAGTCTGTCACCACAACCCACCCAGTCCCGGAACCTGCAGCACAAGCCCAGCCCAGAGCGGGGCCCCCGGCCACGCAGCACCGCTCCCATGCTGAGTCTCTAGACAGGCAGCTGACCACGGCCCAGTGACCAGCGCTCAGCCAGGGCAGAGCGTCCACACCCAGGTCTCCTGTAGCTGGGACGGCCCCCAAGGACCCTCTTCCAGGAGGCTGAGGAGGAGGCCCTTCCCACGAGGTCGGAGGGTCACCGTGCTCCCTTGTGGTTCCGAAGCCTCGCCCCCTCCCCTCCAGGCCGGGCCCCTGGACTTAGAGCTGCCTCCCATCACAGGGACTCGGAGCCCAGGGGGAGGAGGCGATGGCGCTGGCTGCTGACTGGCAGATCTCTGGATGGGCACCCAAGGGCATCGTCCCAGCCGGGCACACGACAGAGCCTCACGGGGACAGGCCTGCCCCTTGCTGGCGCCTTCTCAGGGCCCTGCTCTGACCCCATGCCTCTGCCCCGCCACCACGGGCCTGCTCACACACGGGCTGACAGCCTGCAAAGTGGGCACAGCCGGCCTGGCTGCCCCTAGTTGGAAAAGAACTTTTATCACCCTTCATTATGGAGACCAGGGAGCCCCCGCCTGCCCACATCCCACGTGGCACCTGCCATGTGACTCTAAGAAAAGGTCCCCAGGGTCCCACCTCGAAACCTCAAGGCCAAAGTCAGGGAGAGGCCGAGGGGGGCCTCATTTCCGCGGCCCGGCCCAGCCCACGTCACCGAAGGGGCCCTCGCCCGTAGCCGAGCGTGGCGGTGGCCCGCACGGGGTGCAGAGGTCCGAGTCCGTGTCCGACTCCCCCTCAGCGATGTAGGGTCTGACTTTGGCACAGGGCGCAGCGGCCGCATAGCAGCTGTTGAGGGCGTCCAGGTTCTCCTTGGACTGGGAGATGCTGAAGCCACTGAAGGACCGCTCCAGCTCCTCATGGTCCACGGACGGGATGGAGATGGACGTGTCGCTGTCCCGCAGCGCGCCCTCGTGGGGCCGGCAGGCCGGCGCGTCCTCGTGCCTCAGGAACTCCGCACTCGCCCGGTTGCCCCCACCATAGGCGGACAGCGAGCGCTCGTGGGCGGGCGGGGGCGGGATGCGCACCAGCGGGCCGTGGTCCCCCACGGGCGAGGTGCCCTGGCGCGGCGGGCCGTGCTGCTGCCATGAGGTGGAGGGCGGGCACTGGGCAGGGAGCGCCGTCGGGGGCGCCGAGAAGTTCTTGTGGCCCACGGAGCTGGTGGAGCGGATGAGCTTGACAATGCAGCCGCTGCGGTCGCCCTGCTCACGGCTGTCCTCGGGGCTGTGGTACGGGGGCGCCGGCTCCGGCTCCTTGGCCCCGAAGTACGCCTGGGTCTCCGAGGAGGGGATCCCCATGCGCTGCGTGTAGATGCTCACCAGGAAGTCCAGCTTCTTCTCCATGGACAGGACCTGCAAGGCGGGATGCTGGGGCCGGCTGCTCCCCACATAGGTGGGGGGACCTGGGCTGCTCCCCGCACAGGTGGGGACCCAGCCTGCTCTCCACAGAGGGGCAGAGGCGGCAGGAAGCAGACCCCGCAGCAGCTCAGACCCTGACCCCACCTGTCACTGTGTGTGGCCTCAGGGCTTCAGAATGCTGGACCCTGCCACTTGTCCGGGCCACCCCGCTTCCCACCGTGGGCCCACCCCTGGAGCAACATGCACAGAGGGGCGGCACCACCATTCCCTCCTTGGCTCCCAGAATCAGAGCCCAGGTGAGGGCCTTGCCTTGTTTGTGGTTCTGAGGACTTGCTCCCAGGAGAGGGCAGTGGGGACAAGGCCAGCCAGGTGTGACAGAGGGCCACTCACAGGGCCTCGGTGCACGGCGCCTCACCTAGCAGTGGCTCCCACCCAGGCAAAGGGAGGGGCCATAAGTGGCGCTCCTGGCCCTGAGGGTCTGTGGGTATAGCTGCAGAAGGGACAGTGTCCCAGACCTGGGCGCGGCTCAGGGAGGTGTGAGGGGTCCGAATGCAGCACCTTCGGCTATAAAGGCCCCACGTCCCCTGAAGCTCAAAGACCCTCCTGCAGTGTCCACCCCAGACACCTTAGGCCAAAAGGCCCGGCAGCCTCCCCGGCCTGTCCCACCTGCTTCTCCACTTTGCCCAGGCGGCCCATCATGCTGGGGTCCTCGGGCAGCTCCGCCTCTGCTGGGCCCTTGGTGCGGTCCTTGTCTGTCATCGCTGGGCCCCGCCCCACGATCTGGTCCACTCTGCCAGGAAGAGACCCCACCCCCCAGCATGAGTTTCGGTAGGTGTGGCGGCCGAAGCCCTCTCTTCCTGGGCCAGGCCACAGCCCTCCAGATCCAGGCTCCGGGCAGAGCCCAGAGCCGAGAGGGGCAGCGGGGTGCCAGGACAGATGGGCGCCGGGCGCCTTGTTCTCACCCTGAGCTCTGAGCCCTTGGGGCCTGTTACCCGTCCACTCCATTACAGTGGGCTGGCACATTAGCGAGGAGTAAAGTGAAGGGAATTAAGGTCAGTCACCCCTCAGCTCCCCTGCTGGACCCGGCCCTGCCCCCACCCCGAGCTTTACTCCTTCATAATGTGTCACAGGCCTGGGCCCAACTGGGTCCGGTGGGGTCAGTTAAATGTCTGCAGCAGCCACAACAGAAGCAGGAAGGGCGTGCGGCTCATGCACCAGGACAGGGAGAGAGCGGACACAGAGCAGCACAGGAAACTGCCCACGTACAACCAAAGGAGGGGACAGACAGAGCCACAGCCAACCAGAGAGAGGGTCGTGTGTGTGCACACGTGTGTGTGTGCACGCGTGTACGGGACGCAGAACATAGCTGTGCCGACCTCAGTCGAGGCCATCGGTCCTGAATGCCAACCAAGGAAGGAGGTTTCCTTCGAGGAGGGGGCTGCTGTCTGACCAGCAAGGTGTTCCCTGGCCCCCACGCTGAACAGAGAGGGCCACTGAAGGGCTCGGAAGCGGTGTGGACGCTCACTCAGAACAAAGGTCCCGGCTGTCTGCCAGCCGTGGGGTCAGCCGCTGTGAACCTGCTAGGGTGCGGCCAAGCGGGACGGTGACGCAGACCGAGGCCACGCAGCCCCCACCTCGTTTGTGGCCTGGATCCCCCAGCACAAAGCTCGCTTCTCAAGTTTGGGGTGCAGGAAGGTGCTGCTCCCACAGCCCAGCAGGGGCCACGTGAGCAGGCCAGAGCTGCATCTAGGTTTATCTTCTTGACCACAGGGCTGCCCTGTCTGACAGGGGCCAGGGGGCTCGGGTGATTGTTTCTTTCTGTTGCACGAAGCAGAAGAGGGGTTCAGGCTTGCATCACCATAGTGCAGCTCCTCATGCTCCCTGGGCTTCATGCTGGAGTCATGCACAGAAGGGCCACGCGGGCGGGAGGGGCAGAGCGGGGGACCCTCGGACTCCAAGCAGACACCGGTGGAGATGGGAGGAGAAGGGGTTCTCTGGCGTTTTTGCGCGTCCATACAGTCCAGGCACAGGTGCTCAGCGCCTTTACCCCTGCCACATGACGGGCTGCCTGCATGGCCGGTCCCCATGGGAGCCTGGGCCACCCCCTACCCTAGGCCGCAGGCTGAGGAGTTGGGCTTAATCCCCATGTGACCAGACTGTCCTTCTGGCCCCTTCTCTGAGTGAATGTGTGTGTCCTCTGCCTGGAGCACTCCAAGGGCCGGCAGGGCCTTCCCGGTTCGTGGCTCTGAACCATTCCAGCAGCAGTGCCCAGAAAGACGGCTTGGGTCTCAACGCCCAGCATCCTCGGGGCTGGGGAACATGGCAGAGCTCAAGGGACCCGGAAAATGCCATCTGGGGCTGCCCTGGGTCAGGCCTGCTCCCCCGGGAACTCCCTTCTCATGGGACAGCTGCCAGGTTGAGACGCCCGGCACGCAGACCCATGGCCTCCGGGACACTGGGGGCCCCTCTGCTCCCCAGCTATCAGCGCAGCCAGGTGTCCCTCTCCTCACCCTCATATCTCTGCCTCAGGAGCTCCACTCTCCCTCGGCCCACCAGACCTGCTGGAGAAGGGGCACGGGTCACAGTGTCCTCTGAATGGCCCCAGGAACGAAGTCTGAGTGTGCTGACTCACCACCTAAGGGTGCCCTCACCATGGTTCCCATCAGCCGGACGTCCTCATCGATAACACTAGTCACGATGCTGATGGTGGAAGACAGAGCACGGAGGCCCTGGGCCTTCCCTGAGCGCCCAACCCTCCTGTGTAGTCACAAGAGTTAAAAGCAAGAGCAGACACACAACCTGCTCAGACCTCACAGCAGCCCTGGTCGACCCCACCAGTGGCCGGGGGGGGGGGCGGCATCGACACTGAGGTCCTCGAAACCCCCAAGTCCTCCCTGCACATCTGCACACACCACGTCCTCGTGGAGCTGACCCTCTGGTCTGCCCGGAAGCCCCCACCCTGAGTGGACGTCGCAAACAGTGTCCATGGAAAGCTTCTCCAGGGCCCTGCAGGAGGGCCCGCAACACACAGCCCTCCCAGCCCTGCAGAGGGACGGCCTTCTCCCAGGCATGGCTTTGTCAGGGACAGAGAAACGTCCCCTTCATCCTGTCAGAAGAGCAGTGCGAGTGCTGCCGTCATGTGGCCTGGAGCGAAGGGGGCTGGCCATTCCACAGAGACAAGGCAGGAGAGGGTTGGCATCCTGACCTAGGTGAGTACTGGGGTGACTCTCTCGGAGGGGCCGTGGGTCCTTTGGTGGGGTACTTCTTGTGCCGGGGAGTTGAAGGGGGTGGGGGGCCCACAATCATATCTATCCTGGCGAGTAAACAAGAAAAAGACACCAGCAAAATGCATCGTGAAGCAACACGAAGGGGGGCAGCTGGGAGCTTGCAGAAACAGAAGGAACAACCCAGCATAAAGCCACAAGTGACAGGTCTTACGACTCTGTCCTGCTCCAAACAACGCAGTGGACACCACGCTCGCTTGATCTGCCCCGTGTTCAAGCGAGCACGGCCTGGGTGGCCGCAACCTGACTGCGTGCCCAGCCTGCCCGGCGAGCATGCACGTGCATGGGGCGCGTCGCAGCTGGCACACAGCCCCAGGGCGCCGGCTAAGACAGCACTAAGACAGGCTGGCAAGGGACAGACGTCCGGCTCCTGGGGTGCGCGCCTGGCTTGTTTTCCCCGACAGAAAGAGAAGGAAAGGGCAAGTTGAGGACAGAAGAGACCGATGAACATGACAGCTGTGGTGAAAGATGTGAGAGGAGGGCCAGCAGGAGGCGCTAGACGGTTGCCACACGAGTACAGTCTGTTCAGATGCACATGTGCACACTCACACACATACTGCTCACTTGCACACATGCATTCACACACATCACTCACATGAAGTCAGTTCACACACATGTGTGTGCGCACACATGCACACTCATGCACACATGTGCACACTTACACACATCACGTGCACGCTCACACGCATACTGCTCACTTGCACACGTGCATTCACACATCACTCACATGCACAGTCAGTTCACACACATGCACGCACGCACATGTGCATACTTACACACATCACACACTCACATGCACACATGTGCACACTTACACACATTGCGCACTCACGCACACATGTGTACGCTCATACACTCGTTTGCACACACAACACAGATCTCATGGACACTCTGGGAGGACGCTGGGCAATTGGCCTCCTGGCTTGAGCCCGGGTAGAGGAGGGTCACCTTCTGCCCCCACCCAATGGGAGCAAGTTAAGGTCCAGAGAGATCCCTCCCCTGGCATCCTGGAGCAGGACAGGGAAGGTGCCCCGAGGCAGGGCACACAGACTTTCTCAGAATGAGGACTTCGCTCCTGCCAGGGGGCTGGGAGCTGGGCTGAACCCCAGGACTGTCCCCTGACTGTCCAGGACCCAGGCGTCAACGGAGGAGCCATCTTGTTTGAGGAGCTGTGGGCAGGGATGGGGCTCCGACTGGCAGGAGCATGTGACCCACTTCAAGAGAGACCCACAGCAACAGGTATGTGGCCTCCTTCCAGGCACCACAAACACACATGTGTGTATATGGAGGGTGGGTGCCTACAAGCACACGTGTACTTAGTGTGAGCATGTGTGTGGACTTACAGGCACACGTGTGTGGGCATGGGGCAAAGAACATAGGTATGTGTACACGTGCATGCTAGCACACATGTGCACACACCTGTTCATGGGTGTGCTTGTGTGTGCCCTGGGCCCTTGCCCATGTCTGTATACACATGTGTATAAGTGACTCCTGGGGTGGGCACTGGAGACAGCAGTGTGTGCCCTGCTGTTGCCACGCCTTGGACATACATCCCAGCCCCGCTTTCTGCCTGGGAAGTGGGAAGCCCAATGTGGGGGGCGGGTGAACAAGCCTACCGTCCAGAGAGAGGGGGTGCCAACCAGCATCGCTGCTGCCAAGGGGGCCATGAGAACCCCACAGCTTTGTCTCACCAGAACCACTCGTCCCCAGCACATACGCACACACGTGCACATAAACATGCACGACACACGACACCCACAGCCCAGCACACACAGACACAGGCACACAGCCTTGGGTATGCACATGTACACACACATACACACGTGTGCACTTGTACATGTGTCCATTCACACGCGTGCATGCAGTGCACACAGACTTGAGTGCACAAACACACACACACTTGCCATCATAGTGTAGGCAGGACGGGAGAGGAGGGAGAGGCAACAGAGATATTAAAACAAAGCAGAAAGTCCGTGTGGGGCCGGAGTGGGGCTGCAGAGGTGGCAGCAAGCAGGGCCGTCCACGGCCCCGTCCACCATCCTGACCACCGCCCTGACCACCGCCCCGTCCACGGCCCCGTCCACCGCCCTGACCACGGCCCCGTCCACCACCCTGACCACGGCCCTGACCACGGCCCCGTCCACCGCCCTGACCACCGCCCTGTCCACCGCCCCATCCACGGCCCCATCCACGGCCCCGTCCACCGCCCCGTCCACTGCCCTGTCCACTTCCCCGTCCACGGCCCCGTCCACGGCCCCGTCCACGGCCCCATCCACTGCCCTGTCCACTGCCCCACCTCTGGCAGGGAGTGAGTGAGCCACCCTCACTGCACCTGTCTGCCCAACACATGTCACGCCAGCGTTGGCCCAGGATCACTGGCCTTGGTATCCTGGGGGCTGGGGGGGGAGGAGGCTCTTGCCTTGACTGCAGGTTTTTAATGCGGGACAGCATGTCCAGGTGGCCAGCCGAGTACTGCTCAATCACATCCATCACATCGTAGGGCCGCAGGCTCTCCTTGAACTTCCGCTTGGACACCAGGAATCTCATGACACTGGAAGGGGACGGGTGGAGGGTCGTGAGCCCTGGTAAAGACCACTCCAGACCACACTCCAAAGCAGGCCGGCTCCGGCGTTCACCTGCTGTGGCCTTCTCAGCGTCCCCGAGAATGCCCACTGGACAATTTCCCTATTATCTGGGCCACCCACCACATATCCCAGCCACTCAGGCCCAATTGTGCAGACAGACCCTCGCCCACTGGGACCCCCTATGGGGGTGGCTCCTGACTGTTCTGTTCACTAACAGCCTCGGGTTCTCTATTCCCGGGACGGGACGGTGACCACTGTGGCATGCGGTGCCTTGTGAGCCACAGGGAACCAGGACGAAAGGGTGTCCCAGCAAAGCACGTGCCCTCATACCAGCCGCCCAGGACCTGATCCCCAGGGACAGAGTAGACCCCTGCCCCTCGCTGGGCTCTATGAGGGAGGCCTCGCCCCAGACGCCAGGCCACTCACCACACGGCTCGGATGCTGACTTTTAGGCCTGGGGTCAGGTCCTCTGTCACAAACTCGCAGTTACAACTCTTGTTGTCGTCCACGATGTCCTCCCCTGGGAGGCTTGCTTCTGGGTGGAAGGGGACGCAACCCGTGAGGAGACCGAGGGGGCTGGTCCTTTGGCCCCGTCACTCCCGCGCATCAGAGAGGGTATCAGAGAACCCCTCAGGCTCCCCTAGCATGCCCTGTCTGGCACACAAGCTCTAGAATGCACCCCCATCCTTTCTCAATGGCCCACGGGGAGCGTGACGTGAGGGTTAAAGGGCATCGCTGTGAGCGGACAGATAAACAGGCAGGGTGGGATGCGTCCACACCCAGCAACGACGATGCCTCAGCCGTGCACAAGAACGAAGTTGACCTACACCACGACGAGTGTGAGCCTGGAAAACGCTCCGTGAGCGAAGCCAAACCCGAAAGCACGAACACTGTGTGACCCACTGTATGTCACTATGTCCAGACATGGAAGCGGACCGGTGGTGGCCGGGGGCTGGGAGTGACTGCTAACAGGGAGGGGTTCCTTTGAGGGCGTGTGAAGTGTCCTAGGACAGGACACAGACAGTGGCTGCACAACACGGTGAATGTGCCAAACTCATTCTGGGCCGCTCACTCTAAAACAGCTGATTGTATCTCACATGACTCTCACCTTAATACAGCGGTTCTCAACCTTCCTAACGCCGCGACCCCTTAATGCAGTTCCTCATGTTGCGGTGACCCCCAACCATAAAATTATTTTCGTTGCTACTCTATAACTGTCATTTTGCTACTGTTATGAATCGTAATGTAAATACCTTTTCGTTTTCCGATGGTCTTAGGCGACCCCTGTGAAAGGGTCGTTCGACCCCCAAAGGGGCCGCGACCCACAGGTTGAAAACCACTGCCTTAATAGAAGAAAAGGGAAAAGTGGGTGCTGCCCCTGGGACTATCCCCTGCGAGGCGCTGGGCCCAACCCACCTTCTGAGTTCTGCCGGGATGTGGCGCCCTTGACCCGGAAGGCCTGCCGTGCACGGCTGCGGTCTCCAAAGCTCCAGCTTTTCGGCACCTTGCTGGGGCTGTCCTCCAGGCTCTGGTCAGCGCTGGGTGACCGCCGCATGGGCTGGGCCTGTGGGGAGCCCTTCCCCTTGGCAGCCACACCTCGGGGGCTGGAGAAGACACGATCTTTCAAACTGACCTTCTGACTGCTCCCACGAGGACAGATGGACAGACACACACAGGGAGACAGCAAGAGAAGTCACTCTGGACAGAACACCGGCACCCATCATTCTGCCCTCGGCTGATGCTGACCGTGCCCCAGAGAAACGCCCAATGAGGGCAGCTGTCGTAGGGTGCAGCCCGGGCAGGCAGGGAGGTTGCAGGGCGGGGGACACAGCCGTGGGCAGTTGGCTCCACCTCGGGCTCCCGGGCCAGAAGGTGGTCAGCAGGCTCTTGAGTCGCTTTTGGCTGCCACCAAAAGGGACACTGTCCTGCTCCTTCTCCAAGGTGACACCCACGGCAAGACAGGTCCCCAAATCCCCAGCAGCTGCTGTGGGTTCCCGGCCACCCCCACAGTATCACTGGCTGTCCCTCCAGACCCTGTAACTGCCCCAGAGTCAGGAGGGGTGAGGTCTGCAGCTGACCCCTGGGCCGAGCCCCACAGAGCAGTGTGGGCCCGGGAGCAGAGGGCTTAGCAGCGTCATGGAGGGTGAGAGCTGGCCTGTCTCCCTCTGCCTGGGCAGCACAGGTCCACGCCCTCCCCCAGGACGCGTCCGGGAGCTGGATGGAATGGAATGGGTGTGCCTGCACTGCCGGCCACCTCAGCTGCAACAGGCAGTCCAAGCCCTGGCCCGAGGCTACAGAGAGGGGGCGGCCATAGCTGGCCAGCCACAGCCCTGCAGGAGTCCTCGGGCCTCCCTGTCCCCATGTCTCTTGGTAACTATGGAGATGGAACTGACTCTCTGGGCAGCAGCCAGGAGACAGGGGTGGGTGGCTACAGTCAGGGTACAGCCATTGGCTTCCTCTCACTGAGCAGTTTCCACCATCTGCCCAAGACAGGAGGCTCTCGGGACCCATGAACCTGTTCATGCCCAGCCATGTGCAGAACCACAGAACCTCCTAGAATGGCCTCTGAGCAGGGCCCCTCACGGCTCCTGGGGACCTGTGACAAACCTGCTCAGAGGGCCCAGTGAGACCCCTGCTGTTGCTGGGAAGACACCTTGCCTGCTAATCCCTCAGACACCACCCGCCCCGTCTCAGCTCCCCAGGGTCAGGTGCCTTCTTTGCTCCCAACTGGGACCCACAGCTGAGAAACACCCATCAGACGGCGCAGAGATGACCAGCCACAGAAAACAGGCAGCCTGCCATCCAGTCCACCTAACCTGTACACCGCAGCCGGGTCAACGCCTGTCTCTACCCCCAGACAGCTGAGATTCTCTGTGCCAGTTCAGGGGTCTCTGCGGGGTGGGAAGAAAAGCCCTTTGGGCAGATGACCCTGAGGCGTGAACCCCATGGGTGTCCTGTGACACAGGAACACGCGTCAGCTTGTTCAGGACACCAGCCCCGAGCCCATAACCACTGCACCCAGTGCGAGGAGTAGTCGGGCAGGTGGGACCGAGGGATGCGGGGAGCCAAGTGCTGTGAGCCCTCCTCTGTTTAATCCCAATGGAGACCACCAGCTAGTCCAGGGAGACCATGAGACGCGATGGCCTCACCAAGCAGGGAGAGCTGGAGACCCCAGCACCAGGAGCTCCAGGAACTCGGCCCCACGAGGCTGCCGTCTTGGACGGACCCACAGGAAGGAGCCTTCCCTGGTCCGGCCTGGCCCTGCCGTCCCCCAGCTCAGACAGGGGAGGCGCTTTCTGCAGAGGAGGCCACAGTCTGGACACCTGGACGGCCAGTCATCAAGGCTCAGGGCCCACAGGCACTCCACCCAACCCCACCCCAGCCAACCTGGACATGCCCCAACTCCAGGTACCCAAACAGGCGGTGGCCCTGCAGGTTTGAGGGGGCCCTGCATCACCTTGCAAGCCAAGGACAGAAGCAAATGCGTGGGAGGGTCTCTGGCCGCCTACGCCAGGTGGGGGGAAAAGCGGTGGCCAGGCAGCGCCCTGTATGACAGGGTTTCTTGAGGTGTTTGCACTTTCACATTTACCTGGGCCCAAGGAGCTATTAGGAAGGTCTGGAGGAGAAAGCCCAAGTCCGCTCTCTGCCCTTGCAGCCACCCCCCAACCCCCACGCACGCCCAGGGCGAAATCCTAAATACGGGGCCAGCTGTGAATTGGGCTGCGGAGAGGGTAGAGTCCAGCTGAGACGGGCCACACCCTGGTCGGCTGGCACATCTGGGGCCCAGCTCAGCAGGGTGGGAGCCGGCATCCACAGAAAGCTGCCAGGCCACGGCCACGATAGGCCACGGATGCCCAGGGCAGTGGGAGGACGAAGTGACACTTGTGACTTGTGCACAGCAGGACGGAGCTTGGCCCGGACTCCTGACCTGTCTGGTCCCCACACAGCCCCATCACAGCGCCTGCCCTGAGGGGCCAGCCTGTGGCCAGAACCGCGACAGACACAAGCTCTGGGCCAGCAGCACAGACTCTGTGGGCCCAGATTGTCCCTCTTGGGGCTGCAAGTCCCCACACAAGCGCCCAGATCCCGGAACACACAGGGAGCGTGGATGGGCCCTCCGAGCCTCTCCCCCGGTGCAGAGGGACTCAGACCATGCATGGACACAGGGGCACAAGCATGCCGCCCGGGCCTGGCCCTGCGGCACGATCCCTGGTGCCCGCCGTGCGGCACCACCGCCTCCACGGCCAACACCGACCGCATGCCGTGACAACAGGACAGGTGAGCAGCTGCCCACACATGACACGGCTGCACCGGGCAGGGCGGGAGGCGGGCAGGAGGGAGACGGGGCGCGCGGGCACCCAGAGCAAGCAGCAGAACAGACGCTTCCACACACCCGACAGCAGACAGTAGACAGAGGGGGGAATGGTGCAGGCAAGGGCCCCGTGGTGCAGGGGTGGGCGGCTTCTCCACCGTCCGGTTTCCGGTCTGCCCTAAACCAGCCCGCACTCGGGAAGGGGAGCCATGGGCCTCTGGCTTCCTGGGGGGTCTGGTGTGTCAGGACCATGGGGAGCCCGGCACACACAGGGCAGAGCTGCCTCCGGCAGGCGGGCGGGCAAGGCGGCCAGTTAAGGGGCAGCTGTCCTCAGGTGCATAGTAGAGGTGCTAGATTGATGCCTGGGGAAAAGGCTCACCCAGCAGCTGGGGCCTGGGGCCGTGCCCTTTCTGGGTTTCAGAACCCTCAGCAGGCCCCCTCCTGCTTGGAGCGGGCTTCCTTTGGCTCAGAGAGAAAAGGGTGTTGGAATCAGGGGGATCCTAGCTCTCCCCCATGAGCGGCCAATCAGAATTGGGGCCCAGGGGCCAGGCCTCTCCCTGGCTCATCTAGAACCTCTACTAAGCAGAGTGTTTGGAGCGGAACAGCCGTGCAGCAATGGTCGTCCGTGCGACGCGTCCGCGGTACCTAGGATGTCCAGGGCAGCATCCACACAGGCCCTCTCTGCACGGTCTGCCTTTACTGGAAATGAGGAGAGCACAGTTAGTCCCCGGGCACCCGAGCAGGACACGGCCAGAGGGAGCCTGGGCCGGCCAGTGGGCAGGAGGCACAGGTAGACTGGGGCACCACGGCCCTGCTGGGGCAGCTCTGGGCGCAGGGCCCCCCGCTACAGCGACGCAGCTGAGCAAGGGCAGCCAGGAAGCTGCACATAAAGTCTTCTGCTGGCCTGGAAAAGAAAAGAGTGCCCTATTTTTGGAGAAAAAAGAAATTCCTTGTTTTTTCCTCCAAAAATACCTTTTCCTTTCAGAGTTAGAGTTTGGGGCCACGTCTTTGTAAAGATGTATTATTTTTTGCTATATTCATGCGAACAAAAAAATAATACATGATCTTAGACTTTGCAAAAGGCTGGTTCTAGATGGACGGGGTTCTAGGAAGCACACATTTGGGGGAGGACAACGTGCACTTTGGCTTCACAAACCAATTGCCGAGGTTTCGCCGAGCCCACCAGCTGCCCGATCAGAAGTGGGTCTCAGTTTACCCAGGAAGCACTGGCTGCCTCTACCTGGAGGGAAGCTAGAGAGAAGGGGGTTTGGGGGCGCCTGGATTTAAAAGGACGGCCGAGGGGGCCGGCCGAGTGGCTCAGTTGGTTAAGAGCTCGCTCAAGAGTGTGAGCTCTGAGCAACAGGGTCACCAGTTCGATTCCCGGCCTGAGCTGAGCTGCCAGCAGCTGCCAACAGGTGGCAGGATGGCTCAGCTAAAAAATTATAATAATAATAATAATAATAATAATAATAAATAAATAAAAGGACGGCCGAAGCCAGTTCATCTCGGGTCCCAGAAAAACCCGCCTCAGTGAGCAGAAGTGGGCCTGCCAGGCGGCTCTGCAGGAAGGGTCCGCCAGAGGTGAGCACGCCAGGCCTCCCCACGCAGAAGACTCATCTCTGCCCTAGGACACGTACGTCCTTCAGCAAAACTGAAAGCAGCAAACGAGAACTAGAGAAACCCTTCGCTCTCCCCGCCCCCTTCTTCGCAGCTGCTGCCTGAGACAGCAGTTCTTAAACCGTGGCCCCGAGGAACGCAACTCACGAGAACCAGCTCCAGGAAGGAGGCCCAGCGTCCACACGCTCGTTTCAACACTGGTGGCACCTGCTGGTGTCCAGGTGCCTCTCACCACTCACCAACACAGGACATGTCTAGCCAACTCCAGCGGGCCAACAGGTCCAGGGTCCTCAGAGCCCCCCTGCTGCCTGTAGGCTGAGAGCCGCTGGCCCTGCCACGCCTTGCTCTCCAAGGAGGACCCCGCATGCCCCACAAGCTTGCTCCCTGTGGGACCTGCCCTGTCACTTCAGTGACGAGCAAGCCTCTGAGGGCTTGGTCCTGGCGGGAGGGGTCTGGGGTCCGGCTGTCCTAGTGCGTGCTCCCACTTGGGACAAACCTCCCTGTGGCGTCCCACTAGCGGCTCTGCTGCTCACAGAAGCCCCTCAAATTTGGGGCAAATGTGTCAGTCAGGGGTCCACCGAAGCCTGCAGGACAGCTAAAGACGGGGACCCCTCGGCCAGCTCCTTCTGGGGTCCCAGGCATCCACCCTCACCGGGAGGACCCTCCCTTTGGGAAGGAGGGTGGTGAGGGGTGGGCTCTGCCTCCAACTCTTTTGAAGGGTCCCAGCTTTGCCCAACCCCCCAACCAGCTTTGCTCCTTCAAACATCCCAGCACAGTCACCTGCCCTGGGCACGTCCAAGGGCCCCTCGGCCCCACACGTACTGGGGAAGCGTTCCTGATGGGGACCGCCCCACGCCTGATTCCTGAGCACATGAGACTGAGGGGCCTCGCCGACTATTTCGCTTCGATGTAAACTTAAGCAGCCGCACATGGCCAGTGGCTCCTGTACAGGGCAGCACAGCCTGAGGCCCTGACACAGCTGGGGGAGGGGAGCCACTGCTTTGGGGGTGCAAGGATCCCCAACTCCAGCCTGTTCCCTCTGGGCCATGCTGGCACTGAGGTGTTCCTGCCCATGTCAGCCAAGCAGAGTGTCACCCAGTCTGAGAGCTGCTGGCATCCAGCCCAGGGCGCCCAGGCCCAAGAGGGTGGCAGAGGCACCACAGACACTCACCAAGACCAGACTGGACAGACACGCCTGCGACAAGGAGGGGCCCACACGGACAAGGGGGCAAAGTGGCTGGGGGCTGGGGTCTCCTCCAGGGCCGGGGGGATTGGGGGCAGTCAGAAATGGGAAGGCACAGGACAGGTTAGGGACAGCCGGGGCAGCAGAGCCCGAGACCCCTGGCTGCCCCAGGCCCCGGCCCTAACCCCAGTGCCGACTGCCTTGGTCTGATGCCAGGATAGCCATGGGCGTGCCACCGTGAGCCAGGCCCGGAGGGGTCTCACAGGAGCTGAGTGAGGGTCCCTGTGCCCACCTGCACTTTATGGTACAGGATCACCTGGCCGGGCAGCCCAGGGACGCCCACCCCCTCCTGGGTACAAGTGGCAGAACAATTTCCCACATGGCTGCTACGGTGCTAAAAAAAGGGGTGTCTGTGGCTGCCCCAGGTAAGGGGACAGAAACACTGGCCTCAGTTACCTGGCTGACAGGTGTGCCTCCCAAAAGGAGGCTGGGCCAGCCTGGCTCTAGGGGAAGCCACTGGGTCACAGGCGGGCGGGAACACATGACACACAGGGGGGACACGAGGATTGGTGTACGGGAAGCAGGGGGCATACCGCAGAGCTCGGGGGGCTCCTGTGTGTCCTCACCTTGAGTCCTGCTTTCAGGGTCAGCCACCTCATCCCCAAAGACAGAGCGCACGTGAAAGGGGCCCAGGAAGGGCAGTGACATGAATAAAGGCACTTGGGGGCAGGCGAGATTTCCAGATTGGGGGAGGGGAGGGCAGGAAAGGAGAGAGAGAGAGAGAGGCTGAGACAGAGCATTGCTGGGGGGCGAGAGTAAAGCCAGGCCGAGAGCACGGAAGCCGCCTCACGCCACAGGGGCCTCCGATGGATGGTGGGCAGGGAGAAGGGGCAATGCCTCAGGCCGCAGAGCCCGGCCCCGCCTCCCCAGGGTCCAGGGTCCCGCTGCACAGGGCCAGACGCAACACGACAGGAACTGATAAGTGGGCGCCCCTTGGGGTGCCGGGCCGTGCTAAGTAGGCATTTTCCTTTTCACCCCGAGGACAGCCATGCGGTCAGCTCCCCTTGCAACCCCATCCTGTTGATGAGAACAGTGGGGGCTGCACCCGCTAATCCAACTCTGGTCCAGTGTTCATTTTCTTAGCCTCTTCGAGGGGGCCTATCACTGCTGTTCAGGGCAAAAGCAGTGCCCATCTTTTCACTTCCAGGCACAAGCCGTCATTCCCTTTTTGGGGATCCGGAGACAGGGAAGCACACCCTCTCCATTTCCCCCACCTGGGCGGCCAGTTGAGCCGCCTCAGATCCAGGGGGGCACTAATGGAGGGTGGCGTCTCTGGCCAGAGGTCCAGCCTCACTCTGCAGCGTGCGGACGGGGTGCTGGGGGTCCCCAGAACTCAGGGAACCCAGCACAGTGACAGCCAGGCAGGCTGCAGTTCATCAGACTTGACCGGATTTTCTTTTTAACACCAGGAAAACGGTAGACTGCCATTACCCCCACTCTCCGCCCACAGCAGAGGTCACCCACAGTCCCTGCATGGGATCTCTAACCTTCAGCCCCCCCAGGACAGGAGACCCTGCTCAAAAGAGGAACCCGTCACCACTCGCTTCAGAAACTTCAAAAAACCAGGTCTGCCATTCAGGCAGTGAAGACCCTCCTCTGCGTGCCCTCCTCCACCATCTGACCCTGACCCAGAGAGGGGGCAGACACCCCTGGGCTTCTCACCCGGCCCTCCCCCATTTCGGAAATCCCCACCTTAGGGCCCCAGAGCTGCTCTCACAGGGGACACAGGAAACTGATGTAAGGGCCCATGTCACCTCCAGGCAGGGTTCCAGGCACACAGTCCCACATGGGGGCCCCCACAGAACCCCTCAGCTGCCCTGAAGACGTGCGGTGCAGACACGGGGGGCAGGCAGACACTGACCTGGGAGAGGGCTCTGGCTGTGGCTCCTTCCTTCAAACAGAAGTGATAAGACTGTCAGCGGCTGACTCTGCTGGGCACACCCTGCGGGGCCCACCCCATCTAGAGACCAGTGGGCAGAGCACGCCAACGTCACCAGGTCCGTGGCCAGCCTGTGCGGGCATCCTGCCCCGTCCCCGCTCTTGTAGGAAGCAGGGCCCCTCAGTTGGACCAAGACACCCGACCCCCTGGGGGCTCCAGCCTGGGACCCCTGCCCCGACCTGAAGGTGAGTCCGGATTTACTCTTGAGGTTCCGAAGCAGCTCCAGCTGGTTGAGCGGTGGGATCAGTCTGCGGGGAGAGGAGAGGCCAGTGAGGGGCGCCTCATCAGAACCTCTTTCACACATGGGGCCTGGGATGTTAATGCCCAGGGGACATAGGGTGTGGCCTGTCACAGGAAGAAAGAGGGGAATTCCATGGCAGGCAGACCTGGGGCACCATCTGCACCTCTTCTGGGGCCTGGGCCCTGGACGTGGGTGTGGGCAGTGACCGCACGCCCGGCAGAGGGGTGGGAGAGGTACACCGGCTGTCCATCCATGGACACCCCACCCCTGACGGCATGGAGCCAGTGGAGCAGGGCACCCGAGGACCAGCAGAAGGCCACGTACCCTCCCCCCCTTCCCAATCCCTGCAAACACAGCACCGCGACACATTTAGGCTCCCAGACCCCTTCTGCAGCCCAGCAGGGCCAAGTCACGGAGGAGCTTCACTGCACTGCAGAGGAGTCGCCGGGATGGGGACCCTGGACCAGCTCTGCTCTGAGGCCCCTCTCCCCAGATCCAGTCACACCCACCCAAGACAGCCTCATGCCCGGCCCGTCTGCTGGCCGGGCATTCAACCTGCAGCCACTTCGGCCACTGGGCAGCTCCAGCAGGACTTCCGTGGAAACAAGCCGAGAGTAGAATCAAGACCCAGCACTGGCACCAGGATGGGGATCTGTAGCCCTAAGCCTTCCCCACCCACCGTGACCTCCACCTTGACCCCCTCACCCGCTGTGACACCCCCACTCTGTTCTGTGACACCCTATCCCACTCTGTGACACCCCCACCCATTGTGATACCTCCACCCACTGTGACATCCTCACCTGCTATGACCCCCTCACCCGCTGTGACACCCCCACTCTGTTCTATGACACCCTATCCCACTGTGTGACACCCCCACCCATTGTGATACCTCCACCCATTATGACGTCCTCACCTGCTGTAACACCCCCACCGCTGTGACACTCCCACTCTGTTCTGTGACACCCTATCTCACTCTGTGACACCCCCACCCATTGTAACACCCCCACCCACTGTGACACCCTCACCTGCTATGTGACACCCCTACAGCACTGTGACTCCCCTACTCAGCCTGCTGGAGTCCCAATCACTTCCCTACACCATGCCCCAAGACCTCCCCCTGCAGCCCCAGCCCCCCAGCTCTGTCCTCAGCCTCCATCCTTCTGGACCTGGGGACCCCCGACCCCCCTCCAAGCACCTCTCAGCCCCCGCCCAGCACGGCGTCTGAGCCTCTCCTCAGCGCCCAGCCACAGAGGCCCCACCCCAGCCCCTCCCAGTGGCCTCCTGGACCTGCTCCCCAATCCTGACATTTCACCCGACACCCTCTGCCTCCAGGCTGGAGCCCACCTCGCCTGGAAGCGTACCACCCTCAGTGTGACTGGTCCTTGTCACCTCATGCTCAAATACTCAGTGGCTCCCCGTTGTCTCCAAAATAGAGGGATCACAGACCTCACGGCACCCAGGGCCCTGACGATCAGCCCACTCGTCTCTGGCTTTGCTGTGGTCCCTGCGCACGGGGCGCCCTCCCTCTGCCCGGGGCCTGCACAGCCAGACCTGGGTGGGTGGTGCTCCAGAAATGCTGGGGGAGGGGGGGGCTTGCGAGTGCTCTCCCTCCTCCCCCACCCCTTCCCCCAAAGCTGACCTGTCCTCCTGGGTCAAGACTAAGCAGGAAGCCCCGGCAGTCGGCTGTTCCTGCCATAGGCAGCAGCGCCACCGGGACTGCGCATGGGGGCAGAACTGGCATTCCTGCCCCCCTTGACTACCCGCCCACAGGCCTGGAGCAGAGACCCCGGGACAGCCCTCCCCCCACAGCCCCCACACACACAGGTCCAACACACACGTTGGGGACACACAGGTGGGACATCATGCCCCGGATACACAGCAGCACGAAACATGGGCAGGCAGGGCTGCGGGCAGGGGTGTGCACACACCACACACAGGGACACACACACAGCCTGCCCCCTCCCAGGGCAGTCAGTCGTGGAGGACCAGGGATGACGGAAGTGGGGACACTGCAGCGGGGCGTGCACCAGTAGAGAGCAGCGGCTGGCCTGGGGCTCAGCTGGCTCCAGGGCAACTCCAGCCACCCAGGCCTGGCAGCACGGGGAGGCCGCCTCTGCAGACCTTGGGGAACCCGGGCTGCTGGAGTAGATGAAGGGGCACCTCCCGGGCCTAGGAGCCTGTCAGGGCCTGAAGAAGGGGAGCCCCAACTTCCCGGGCATCCTGGAACCCCAGGAGTCCAGGGTCCACAGCGGGGAGGAGACTGCTTCTATCGCCACCTCCTGAGTGAGGCCTCTGGGGTCACTGGCAGAGTAGGCACGTGCTGGGGGTGGACATGCCCGTGGGGACGCTGGTCCCGCCTGCCTATGGACATGGACATGGCCCCGGGCTGCCCAGCACGCACCCCCTTCCCTTCTGAGTGGAGCTAACTTGCGAACACGGTCCCCACAGAGGTCACACAAAAGGGTGAGTGGCCCCTGGAGGTGCCGAGAGCTGCTGCCCAGGACCCCCAACTCTGCCCACACAGGGCGAGGGCTGTGCACATCCCCAGCATGGTCCCCACCGCCCCACAGGGAAGGAGAGGGCCAGAGACGCGGCACTGTGCATGGCTGAAACTTCCTGTCGCAGCTCAGTGCCCCAGTCTGGGCAGATGACCCGTTTCCTTCCTTTGGGCAACAGTTAAAGGTGCGGCAGACACAGCGACCAGAACTCCTCCGAGGACCTGCACCTCCCTCCCACTGCAGTGGGAAGATGGGGGCATCTAGTCCACAGATGGGGGCGCCACGCAGGCCGAGGCAAGCCGCCCGCGGAAGAGGCCACTGTGCAGAGCGGAGCTGCCTGCCAGGAGCCGGGGGCTCCGCCGGGGTGTGCCCCGAGCTCGTATGTGGAAGCCCCACCTCCACCACCTCTGCACTGTGCATAAGTGGGGCCTGTGGGGTTGGGGGGAGGCGCAGAGGAGGGACCCCAGCCACTGAAACAAGGCAGGAAGCAGGACAAGGGACAGAAGACAACCCGGGAGAGAAGGAAGGATCCAGCACATGAAAGCAGCTGTGGAGGGTGGCGGGGACAGGAGGGCGCCGGGGGAGGCAAGGAGGGTGTGCTCCAGGCAGGGGCACAGGGTGACAAGGGCAGCACCCTGCCCCAGGCAGGGTCCACAGGCTGGGACAGGGGTGCAGGGTGCTTGGCGGGGTGGCCGCCGGCTCTGCAGACCAGGGCGGCCCATGACAGTCCCACACAGAAGACAGGACCACACCACACGCTTTCTGTCCCATGCATTTCCTACCTGGAGGCCCCGTAGGTTTGAGCTTGCGAGCTTTTAAGTGTTTTCACACACACACAAGGGAAAAGAATGGGAATTTAAAAAGAACGGGATAAGAAAACGCAAATGAAACAAAATAGTCGAGGAGAGTGGGGGGAACAACAGAACAAAGAAAATTAGCATGAGGGTCAGTCCTGCCTCGGCCAGGAGGGCTGGGCGCACAGTGCGGGCTGGTCCGGATGGGCGCCGAGGGGGGCGGGGCGGGCGGCACCCTCTCCCCAGGTGACAAGCCCCCACACAGGCAGGTGGCAGGTGGGGCTGGCCTCTGGCCACCAGGCCATCACTGACTCCAGCACCCTCAGGAGGACCCTGCCCAGCCTGCTCTCAGGTGAGGGTTGTGGGTGGAAACCCCCGGGTGGACACGGGAATCCTTGGGCTCCATGTCACCCTGCAGGGTGGTGCCCACCCACCCAAGGGCATCAGTCCCAAGCAGATGTCAGGCAGTCCCCAGCCTGTCACCTCAGGCCTCATTCTAAGCAACAGCCAGGCATAGATCCACACTCTCGTCCCAGCTGCCACCTGCCCTTGCCTGGAAAGCTGCCTGCTGACCACACAGGCCTCCGCCAACCGTCCTCCACAGAGGCCTCCCCACCCCTTCTCTCCCACCCGAGGGCACCTGGGGTGTCTGTCCTGTTGGGGGAGCCTGGAACCCCAGGATGTACGGGTCTCCTGTTCCCAGAGCCGCACTGCGGGCTGGGGTCATTCTCCTTCCCCCACGCAGACACACTGGTCCTTGTGGTAGGACAGAGGGTCAGGGTGATCCTTCTAAAGTGTGGGGCCGGTTACCTCGAGCGCTCTGGGGGGCCCGTCTTCACAGTGCCCACAACTCAGGGCCCCCCAGCTAGGAAGCTAAGCAAGGGAGATGGAGGTGAAAATAAAAAGCCATGAGCTATGAGACAAAGAGCAAAATTAACACCGAAATAAACCACACACAGAGCCCTTTTTGAAAAATACATACATTTCAAAGAAAAAGAAACAAACAAAAAATCAATCAAAATAATGAACAACCAAAAATGGGGTTTCAGAACAGACGGGAAGCGACGGGCCGCGAGGCGTGGTGGTGGCGACGGCAGTACCTGTACATGGGCACGGTGACCGTGCGCTCGTAGTACTGCCACGTGGAGTGCAGGTCCGTGCGCGACAGGTTGGTGGCGTAGAACCTCCAGGCGGACTGCGGGGGGCAGACGGCCTGCGGTCAGGCAGGCTGTGGGGCAGGACAGAGGGGGGGTCCCTCCCGCCTCTCCAAGGTCTCCGGGCGCCTGTCCCCACCCCCACAGGCCTCATCATCCTCTGAAGGACGGACACACGGACACACGTGACTGCCCACTGTAGGGCAGGTGGGGCACAGGGAGTCTGTCCCTTTCCTGGTCAACTTTGCTGACGCCAGGCAGTTACAGCCTGACATGGCGGTCACCTCCTGCCTCCGCGCCTTGAGGGGATGTTACACTGGGCCCCTCTGACCTCAGGAGCTGAGGGCAGGGGACACAGGCCTCCATCCCCCCCGAGTGGCAGCCACAGCCAGTGAGACAGTGAAACAGCACAGCACAGGGTCCTGGCTGCTGTCCACACCGTCCTCCACCGGGCCGGGCCTCTGTTGCCGACGTGCGTGTGGTGACATGCACATGACGAGAGTCACCATTGCTGTGCAGCTGTCACCAGTATGTAGTCCCACATGCTCGTCACCTCACAGTGCAGGGTCCCCCGTTCCTTCCCTGCCCCCCAGGCAGCCACCAGTCTGCACGGTCCCCACGGACATCCCTAGTGACACACGTCCTGCCGCGATCTCCTCACACACAGCTTCCCGCGCTGGCTTCTCTCACTTGGCATATCCCCAACCCATCCACGTTGCACTGCGTGTCAGCACTTTGTCTGAGGCTGAATAATATTCAGCTTACTGGGTAACACCGCCTTCATCCACTGACGGACACCTGGGCCGTTTCCACCCTTTGGCTGTTGTGAATCGTGCTACTACGAACACTAGTGTGAAAGTTTTGGGTTGAACACCTGTTTTCAATTCTTTGGAATGTATACTTAAAAGTGGGATTGCCAGGTCATTTATAATATTTAATGTTTTGAGGAGCCACCGAGCTGTTGTCCATAGTGGCTGCACCATTTCACATCCCTATGAGCAGTGAGGGCTCCGATTTCTCCACGTCCTCGCCAACACTTTTTTATTTATTTATTGTTAATTTTAGTCTCCCTGGTGGATGTGAAGCAGTCTCTCATGGTGGTTTTGATTTGCATTTCCCTAATGACTAATGATGTTGAGCATCTTCTCATGTGCTTGGCTGTTTGTGTATCTTCTTTGGAGAGATGTCTACTGAAGTCCTTCACCCATTTCTTAGCTGGTTTTGCCTTTTCATTGTCGAGCTGGAAGGGTTCTATATACGTTCTGGATACCAGACGCTTATCAGATACGGGATTTGCAAATGTCTTCTCCTATTCTGTGGGTTGTCTTTTCACCCTACAGTGTTCTCTGATGCACAAAAGTTTTAACTTTGATAAAGTCCTATGTATCTATATTTTTCTTTTGTTGCTTGTGCTTTCGGTCTCATTTCTAAGAAACCAAGGTCATGGAGATTTTCACCTATGCTGGGGGAACACTGGGTTTGCGTAAAGGACTTGCCAGCTCACAGGGATGTGGCAGTGCCCACACTGAACACGTCTGGGCCCAGGGATTAATCGTCCTTCCCTGATCCATGCACACTAGCGAGTGTAGGCCAGGCTGGTGGTAAAGGGGCCTCCTGGGAGAGCAGCCTGTGCATAGCTGTTTCCCCCAGTATTTGGGGGTCTTTCCAGAGCCCCAATGTTCCCATGTGTCTCCTTCCTGAACCTGTCCCTTCCAGGCTTTTCAAACTACCTGTTGTTGGTCCTGTCTGCCGTCCCTGACCCCATGGCTACAGCTAGCACCTGCCTTTGTGTTTGACAGTCACCACCTGGGAGGCCGCTCCACACCTGAGAAAGTTTCCAGGTGAGTGAATCACAAGCAAACGCTGTCAGGGTGGCTCAGGAAGCACTGCCGGACACAGAGTGGCCGCTGCACCCCCAGCAGAGAGGCTGGCTGAGCTGGGGCTGCACAAACGCAGCTTGAGCACCTACTGACTACCTGAGTGGGGATCTCTGAGCCCCGACATGTACGCAGCATGGGTGTGACAGCGCCCCTGCCTACCAGGGCACTGTGAAGGGCAACCTCAGTGGCACCTGTGATGGCCTGGCCCAGGAACCGGGGCCCACACATGACGACGGCCAGCACCAGCGCCGCACTGCTGTGTGGCCTTGGGCATCTGAACGGGTTCTCAACACACGCACTAGACTTCCCATGCCTGACCTGTTCCTGAAGAGGGACGAGGACGCACCCACAAACAGGGACACCCCTGAGCAGGGCTCTGCTGCTGGACATGGTGGGACCAGGCCGGGGGCTTCCACTGGCCCCGAGTGGGGGCTTCCTGGACTCACCTGGATCAGGCCTGCAGCGGGGTTCCGCCTCTTCTCGAAGTGCTTCTGCCGATGCTGCTCCTGGACTTTCAGGGCGAAGCCAGACCCCAGAATGCCCTGCAGGTCACCAGGGTCAGGAGGTGCCCCAGGGCCACAGCCCCCACGCCACCCTCACCTGCACACTCCAGGGCCTCCCGGCTCTACCTCCACCTCCTCGGTCTCTAATCACCTGGAGACCCAGCTGGGGGAACACTGGGTTTGGCGTAAAGGACTTGCCGGCTCATAGGGATGTGGCAGTGCCCACACTGAACACCTGTGAGCCCAGAGATTAATCGTCCTTCCCTGATCCGTGCACACCAGCAAATGCAGGCCAGTCAGGCTTATGGTGAAGGCGCCACCTGGGAGAGCAGCCTGTGCAAAGCTGTTTGCCCCTTGCCAGCTGCCCCTCTGCCCTGCCCAACCGTAGGTGGAGAGTTAACAGAGCCCTCGCCCCCTCTGCGGGAAATGGGGTCTTTGGCACCCTGGAGACCAGACAAGGGATCCTTGGAACTGCACAGCATTGTTCCTGATCACAAGGACCCTACTGGCCAGTCCCACTGACTGGGAGGAGCTGACAGTGATCAACAGATGCAGGGTCACAAGCCACAACTTGGGGACGCTCAGAGAGATCTGATGGGGCGTAATGGATGCTGCCAGCTCTGGGCCAGTGCAGCTGCCACTCGGGGTCCTGGGAAGGGTGCCTCCGTGCACCCAAGCTGCCACCTCCAGCTCCCAGGGGGGCTATGGACCCTACTGGGAGCCCTGCTCCTGACCCACGTCCCCCCTGTGGTCACCCAGGGAGCCTGTGACTCCGCCCCCACCAAAGACAGGAAGGAAAGCAGGACTCACAGCAGGAAGAGCAAAGAAGGAGACACCAATGAGGGTGAATGTTGCCGCCAAGAGCCTCCCATTCCAGGTCTGGGGGTACTTGTCCCCGTAGCCAATGGTCGTCAGGGTGATCTGCAAGGACAGCGAGCCTGGTCACTCGCCAAGCCTGGCCCTGGCCATGTAAAGGCCCGTGAGCCCGAGCTGGACACTCCTCAGCCTACACAAAGGGCTCACTCGCGTCCTCAGGGCAGGCTGGACACTGGACGGGGACAGACACAGAGGCCACCCCCTTCCATACCTCCCCCAACAGGCCCCAGTGAGGCCAGGGTCAGCATCGGCCATCCTTCAACCCTGCAACAGCTGGACCAAAACTTCCAAAGTCTCTCCTCTTTTTCCTACATGCAAGGGGTGGGGGGGTCACCCCAAGGCTCTGTTCCCATGTCACATGTGGGAGAGCCCAGAGGCAGCTGTCACACTCAGCACAGTGAGTGAGCACAGTGGCTTCAGCCCAGGACCAAGGCTGCAGGCATACAGCCAGGAGACACAGAAAGAGCCAGGGGCCTGAGAGGGAACAGTGCAAGAGGGAACCGCAGGGAACGTGGATGGGATGGGGCCCAGACACATGGTGCAGAGCCATGGGGGCACCGCAGGAGGCTGACGTGTAACTTCAGGCCAGAAGAGAGGGACGGGCCAGGGGAGGTGAGGAAACGGACACACACCCCCCAGGGCAAGGCTCGAGGCAGGGTGCTTCTGGTACATTGGGAGCCCTGGGAAGGGGTGGACGAGGGCCCCCAAGGAGGGCCATGCCAGGTGAGCATGTCCTCAGTGAAGGACAATGACCCCAGTGGCCAGGACTCACCAGGCCCCACCAGAGTGCATCTGCGTAGGTGTCAAAGTGATCATTCTCGCCCTTCTCCGCCAAATACACCAGAAATGAGGCCAGGATGAGGCACAGGAAGCCAATGTACCAGGCAGTGACCAGCTCCTGAGAGAGACAGTCGCGTCAGCGTGCCTGGCCAGCGTCCAGCCCCATCAGCCCCCAGGAGCTCCGAGGGGCTCAAGGCAGGTGGCAGGGGTGGCTGGTTTTCCGACCTCGGACCTGGGAGGACGGGCTGAGGATGGCAGCATGCACACCCACCCAGGTTCGGGAGGGTCCCCAGGTGGTCGAGGCCATCAGGCCAGAGGTTTTTGGCTTTGAGAACCTACCCCACCTTCCCTGACTGCATGCCCTCCTTGGGGAGCCAGCACCCCTGCTCCAACCTGCCAACCAAGCCCCCCCCCCATCTCAGGGCTCGGTCAGGAAGGACAGTGGGGAGAGCACCCATGGCCAGGGAGGCACAGCAGGGCAGGGCAGGGTCTGGGCCTCCTGGGGGCTCCCTGGAACATGCAGAGGAGCTTGGGACAGGACTCGGGGCTACAGCCACCTTGTGGGTCTCAAGGCCAGCGGCCACCGGCCACCACCCAACCGCCCACCGCCAGCCTGATGCCACAGCGACTGGAGTACCGAGCCAGGTACACTCGCTGGCCACGGTGGGGGCGGGGGGCGCCCCTGCGAGCGGCTGTGGTCTGTGGTCGGGGCGAAACCTGCCCGCCGCCGCCGCGCCTGCGCCCGCGCGCTCACCTTGCTGTGGGCGTAGACCACGGAGCCCAGGAGTTTCCACGTGCCGCCCCGCCGGTCCATGCGGATCATCCTCAGGATCTGCAGGAAGCGCAGGCTGCGCAGCGCCGACGTGGCGAACACGTTGCCCTGGGAGCCGGCGGCCAGCACGGCGATGGAGGCGATGAGCACCATGATGTCTGCGGAGACCCGGAGCTCAGCGGGCGGCCCTGCGCCTCGCCTCTGGGCTCCCCAGCCGGGGGTTCCGGGAGGATGGCCAGGCGGATGGATGGGGGCGCGTGCGAAGCGCCCAGCGCGGGGACCATGACTACGGTGCACCCGGCCCGGCCCTGCCCTGGGCACCCCGGCCTTTCAGGCCGCGGGAACCACAGGTCTGACACCGAGAGGGCGGCGCCGGGCCTGTGGTCTCGCCGGCCCCCCGGCAACCCCACTCTGCCGCCCCCACCCCCAGGCCTCACCGATCACGCAGAAGGGCTTCCGGGCGAACTTGAGCCGCCCCCTCCAGCCGCGGTACCGGCAACAGCAGCCCGCGGCCCATATCCGCACAAAGTACTCCACGCCGAACACCACGATGGTCACGATTTCCTGCAGGGAGGCCGCAGCTGAGCCCCCGCAGGGACTGTCGTTGTCATCGTCGTCGTCGTCCGTCCCCCACCCTCCCCCACCCTCCGTGAGCTGCTGTCAGTGGGGGGGCCCATCCTGCCTGTGTGAGCTGGTGTTGGGGGGTTCTCCTCCAAGCATGGGGCAGCCCCAGGAGAAGGCAGTGGAGGGAGGGCTCCGGTACATTCCGGACCAAGGAGGCCCCTCCGTCACCAACAGCAACACAGAAATTATACTGTGGTTGCCATGGCACCCACCCCTGCCCCTCATGGGGTTGCTGTGAGCAACACAAGCCCCACCCCACCCCCACATCTGCCGGGGAACACCCCCATCTCGATGGTGGAGGAGGCCACCTGGGCCCTGGGATCCAGTGGGAAAGAATGTGGGGGCAGTGGGGTGGGGGCTGTCAGGCGCTGTGACAGCACAGGTCAGGGACTAGGCCAGGTCAGGCTAGGGTGTAACGGGTGTTGGGGGGAGGGGGGTATGAGCTGAGGATGCTGTGATGGACACTGCAAGGTCACCAATGTCAGGAGGGGAGGCTGGGAAGGGCTGTGGGGTCACCCAGCTGTAGCTGGATGGGTAGGGTTTGTGGGTGCATGGAAAATGGGGTTTCCTGCTGTGGAGGAGACCAGGCTTATGCAGGGAGCGGGGTCTGGGGATCAGAGAGGACCCTTTGTCAGAGGCTCCATAGTAGTGAGCCAGGGGACAGAGTGCCACCTTCCCCATCCGCCTGGGGGTGGGCGGGGCCTCACCAGGATGTACAGCGCGCCCTCCGAGCTCTTCTCATATTCTTTGATGGTGGAGAACACAGACAGCACGAGGCAGGAGAAGACCAGCAGGAACCTGAGGGTGGAGGGAAGCTCGGTCAGCCGGTCGGCTGGCAGTGGAGGAGGAGGTATGGGGTCCATGGCCACATGCAGAGCCCAGGAAACGCCCACAGCCGCCCCCCAGGACACCCCACAGTCTCACCCACACCCCTCGTCCATCTGGTCAGCCCGGATAGCATTGTGCTTTGGGAAAGTCCCCAAAACTCCGTGACGGGGAACAGGCTGTGCCTTCTGCATGGCTGGGAAAGTAAGAACCAAGAGAGACCCCTGCCCGCCTCTCGGAGGCAAAGGTGGCGCTCCGTACATTCCATGTTTCCTCCTTCACAACTGTCCTCTCCAAGCTCAGAGGCAGAAACTTTCCTGTCTTCCTATTAAGACCGACCTTCAACGCAGCCACCCCAGCACCCTGCCTGGTGTCAATGTGAGGGGTCCTGTCCACAGATTCGCATCAGCAGGCCATGCTGTCAGCAGGCCATGCTGTCAGCCAGCAGTGCTGGTCCCGACTTACGGGAGACAGGAGCCACTGTGCAGCCAGCATGGACGCCAAGGTTCTGTCCAAAGCTCCAGCCAGGGCGTCCAGCCAGAGCGGACAGGGTAGGGTGAGGCCTCAGGAGCGAGCCCCTGATGGCTGAGGACCTGAGCTTCTGAGAGGCACAGAGCACAGTGTGGGCACACCATGCCCCTCCCACGTGTCCTCACCGGCCGGACACCCCCATCACCCCAGCCCCAGCTTCACACGCCCCGGTCGGGGGAGAGGGACTGAGATGGGGCCAGCACCGCGAGGTCCAACCTGAGCCTGGCCACAGCAACCCTGACTCGGGCCAGCCTGGCCCTATTTGGCTGGTGTCCTGCTGGCACCCAAGCCTGAGCTGAACTAAGTGTGCACTCAGCACCAGGGAGTGTAGGCTGGACCCCGGGCACCTCCAGTAGCCCTGCCTGTGCACCCTGAAGAGGCCTGGCAACTGTGCCGAGACACAGACCCCCCCCACGGGGGTGTGGACGTGACAGAGGCGTTGACAGTGCCTGCTGGCACAGCTAAAATGCACTCAGAGACACAGTCACATTTCAAAACCACAATTAATTTTCTTTGCTCATTAGCCAATTTATTCAATTAACTGAGCCCTGGAAAAAAGTCCAGAGAGCTCATGTGCCTTATACCCATAATTCTCTGTCTGCCTGGTGGTGTCTTCACTCGACCCGGTGGTGGGAAAGGAGCAATTGCACCCCAAGGGGTCCACCAGGAGTGGAGGATAAAGGATTCCAGGGTTCCAGGTTGGAACCCGAAGGTTGGGCAGTGGGAGACACAGAAAGCATCGCCCATTGAAAAGGAGGCATCTTAACCAAGCTCAGTTCAGTGCTGCGATGCGGGGAGCCCAGGTGAGACATGGAATCTGGGGGGCTTCCCCGAGGAGGTGTCCACGAGGGCAGCTCCTGCAGGGTGAAGTAGCGTTGGTGGGACCAAGAGGGGAGAAGGAAAGGGTGTTCCTGCAGAGAGAAGAACAATGGGGTGGCCAAAGTGGGGGAGGATGGCATGTCCCAGGACCCAGCAGAGAGTGAGTCTGACAGACTGGAGAATGGGACAGTGGGGAACGCCTGACACTGTCATCCCCATGTCAGGGACACAAAGACCCACTCCTCGTGCCACATAAAAACATCCGTCCGAAGTAAAAAGAGAAGGTCCAAGTCCCAAGGTGACCAGGCACTCTCAGCCCTGCTTCGTGAGGGCAGCGCTGCCTGGCACCTCAGAACATTCCGGAATGGCCGGCCATGCTGAGGGGATGGATGTACAGCCCTTCCCAGCAGGCCGTGGTGACCAGCGTCGGGAGCCGTGCCAGCAGTTCAGAAGACAAGCCCATCCCTCCCCACGGCCCCACCCCGGAAAGTACCAGCAACGGCTCCAGGCTTGTTTGTGAAGTTCTGGAACAGACGGTCACAGATGGTGGGGGGCAGGGGAGGCCCGCGTGCCCACACCGCCAGGAGGAAGGAGACGGGGAGGCTCCCTGCCACGTCCCCAAGCAAAGACAGCAGATTCCCACGGACACAGGGCACCCACACGCCTCGCCTGCAGGCCCAGAACTGGGGTCCTGACAGTTGGGGGGTCACCTCTAAATGCAAGGCCTCCCTCCTGTCCGCCACTTCTCCAAGCAGCTAAACAGTGGATAAGACATGTATTTCCTGTCTGCAGGCACTCGGTGACCAGCGACCGCCCCGCTGAGCACACAGCAGCATCACTGCCCCCCGATGGGGAACTTAGAGATGGGGAAACCCAGGCTCCAAGAGGCTGATGCGGGCTCTGCCTCGGGCCTCGTGGTCCCTGGGCACAGCGTCCTCGGTGACTGGGGACACTTCACTGAGGCCCAGCCCCAGGAAGCCTGGCGGGGGCTATCTCAGGAGGGGCCACCCTCCTGCAGGACAATGGGGGGTAACCACCCACAGCAATGCAGCCCATCGCATCACCCTGGGCAGACCCAGAGCTTCCCGGAGACCTGGGGGTGTGGGGGTGTGAGCATGGCGGTGCTCCTGCCTTTCCCCACCTCCTGCTCCCCGGCATCCTGGGCTCTGGCTCCTGACAGACTCAGAAGGCACCCTTCTCCTCCCCCTCTGGAGATGCTAGCGGACAGACAGCACAGCCCTGCTGTGGCCCCATGCTGGCCCTGCACTGCAGGTGAGCAGCCCCCCCCCCCTCCACCAAGGCTGGTAGCTAACCACCAGCACCACCCCGGGGCCCTGGGGGGAGTTCCCAAGCTCTCCAGCCTGGGAACTGTCCAGGCTGCAGAGAAAGAGGAAAGACAGACGGGAGGGGAGGCGAGGCATCTCTGATGGCAGGGCCTGCGGTTTCTGCAGCCGCTAATTATGATAATGAATTCAAAGTCAAGACGCTCCCCTAGCAGCGGTTGCCAAGGAGACAAGCATCTCAAGCGGCTGGCCCCCAGCTTCTAGGGGCCAGGATGGAGGGCAGGCAGGGTGGCCGGCGTGGGACGTGACCTCAGACAGGTGCTCACCTGAGCACTGGCCACCTGGAGAGTGAGCCGTGTCCCTGGTGCACCCAGGCCCTGTGCCTGCCAGAGGACCCCAGTCACAAGTGGCCACTAGGGATGTCGGCCCTGCACTCCAGGACCCACAGCACATGGCTTATCTCCACCAGCAGCAGGACAGGTGTCAGCAGACAAAGGGGGGGCTTCCAGCCACGCCTGAGCGCTCAGCAGAGCAGGACCCCTTTTTTGAAACAGGAAGGGGCATGGCAGGGTCCTGGGTAAGGAGGGGCCCACGGCAGCCAGGATAATGGTGGGGGACATGCACAGGGGGATCCCAGTGAAGGCCTGAGGACACGCCTCTGCTTCTGTCTCCCCTCCCCCATCTGACTGCAGGGAATATTTCTTTTTTGGAAAAACATGACAAAGCCACTGCTGCCTCCTTCCAGATTCCCCTCCACTGTGGGGGGGGGGGCAGGGAGGGCAACAGGGAGGGTGCCTCTGGGCAGGCAGGATGGAGGCCCCCCCATCGGTCTCCGGGAGTCCCCTAGCAGACTTCCTCCCTCCTTCCGAAGCCTGACTGGGGCTATTAACCTCATTTTACATATTTAATGAAATAAACATTTAACAAGCGAATGACAGGGGTGGGAGGAAGTCACGTGATCAGCACCCACTCACGGCCCCCCCATAGGCTGCTGTGGGGCAGAGTTGGGAGAGGTGGGTGGGGAGGGGTCCCCACACGGAGCCCCCACCTGCAGCCCCACAGGCTAGAATCCGCAGCAGCTCTGCGGTACGCAGGCATGTGAGGCAGCAGGCATGCTTGTCATTCTACAGACAAGAGAAAACGAGGCTCTGAAGCAGCTCGGTGGCCACACGGGGCGGGG